GGGGCTGGTAGTCACCTTCCACTAAGTTGGACTGGGGCGCGCATTCGTCAAGGTCTGGAAGGACAGAGGAAGGGTTAAGTTCCTACCCAGAGACTTCTGGGGCCAGACACAACTATTGTTGTGCATGACATGGGGGCCTCTTTCCAGAGACTGCTGTGTGGCTCTTTCTCAAAGAGTCACATGCCAGAAACCAGGAGACAATGTCCACTTCTGGCCTCCACACCTCCCTAGCGCTCTCTGGGAACTGCTGGGTGTCAGCAGATCCCAGGTTGTCAGTCCCCATCTTGCTGAGAGAAATAAGGAGAGCCTTATTTGGCATCTTTGGGTGCAAGCTTGTCCCCTACCCACTCCTGTGACTGAGGCCAGAAAGAGGGTTGGCCGCAGGGACCACTCACCCACAGCCTGGTAGTAGGCCTTGAAGCCTTTGTAGAACATGATGGTCCCATTCTCTTCGTTGGAGAAGTCTGTGTGGAAGGTCAACAGCATCTTGTTCCCCTGGGACGTGAATTCCTTCTCTCCCGGGGGGTTGCCCATGGGAGAGCCCAGCTGCCCACAGAACCGCCCCAGAGTTTGCTTATCAGCAGAAATCTGTTGGAGGAAGGACAGGAGAGAGCCCTGCTGAGGAGCCTGGTCCCATGTGGCAGGCCAGTGAAGGCCCGCTCTCTCTTGCCCCCGACTGAATCATGATCTAATGCTACTATCTGTCAGATCTGGATGCTACGGACGTCTCTACGTGATGCTTCCCTGTCCATCCCAGCCATGCACTAATTTTTTTTTTGAGTAGGAGCTTACTGTGTAGCCTAGGCTGGCCTTGATATTTATTAATCTCTTTGTGCAAACATGTGTGTGTGCACACCCATGCATGTGTGTATGCATGCCTGTGAGTGTGTGCGCATGTGTGTGCGCACGTGCATGTGTGTACATGCCTGCAAGTGTGCGCACACGTGCGTGTGTGCATGCATGTGTGCGCTTGTGTATGCGTGTGTGAGTGTGTATGCGTGAGTGTGTGCGGGTGCACATGCGTGTGTGCATGCGCGTGTGAGTGTGCATGCGCGTGTGAGTGTGTATGCGTGAGTGTGTGCATGCGTGTGTGCATGCACGTGTGAGTGTATATGCGTGTGTGCATGCGTGTGTGCATGCATGTGTGTGAGTGTGTATGCGTGAGTGTGCGTGTGTGCATGCGTGTGTGATACATGTGGAGCACAGAGGCCTGCGTCTGGAGTCAGTTCTTTCCCTCCTTCATGTGCATCCTTGGGACTGAACTCAGGGTTGTCACACTTGAGGCTGGTGCCTCTACCCACTGAGCCATCTTGCCAGCCCTAGACTGTGACTGACTTGCAGTTCTTCTGCCTTCCTGCCCCGACTGCTGACTGACTCTTCACCTGCTATCCTCTGCTTGGTCACCTATCCCGCTTTCTGCCCCCACCCCAAGGCTCCGATCTCACTCATTCCCACCGCTTCCTGTACCCTCCTCTCCCAGGAATCCTTGTCTCTGGGTGCCTTTATTACTCCTTCATCCCTAGAGCTTGGGCTGGCCATCTTTGGTCTCTGTCACTGTCCTGCTCCTCTTCTTTCTCTCCACCCCCCCTCTCACTTTCCTTTCCTCCTTGGTGTTTTTGGGAGAGTGGCTAGCCTTGAACTTGCTATGTAGCCCAGGATGGTCTGAAACATTCCAAGTCTCCCTAGTATTGGGATCACAGGAGTACGCTACCGCGCCTAGGTTTTTGTTTTGCTTTCCATTTCATCGTTTGAAAACCACACTCAGCCCTGCCTCCTGATAGACCCAACTGAACACGATAGTACGCTTGGTGGCCGGCAGCCTTGGCACTGGCCGGCATTGCCTGGCATCTCGACTGCTTTTCTTCTCAGACTCCTGAGTCTCTCAAAAGCTGAAGACATCTTCCCACTAACTTCACCAGATGCCGCCCCCCCCCCACTGAGGACTTTTCATCCTCTTTGTTGGAAAGATGTGCAGTCTTCACGATCTTCTCTCAGCCTCCGAGCTGATGCCTGAGAATGACAGTGCGGCAGGGCGCAGGCTCTGCTTAATTCCCGCCCTTTATTTTTTCTGGACACAGAAAGATGAGGCCGAGAAAGAAACCCTTTGAGGCGTACAGAGCAGAGGGGACCAAGATCTTTGTTCTCCTGGAAGGTCGTGTGCCACCTGCTGCATGTTTAATTTCTTCATATTACTGATGAGGTAGGTAGCCATACAGGGAAACTGAGGCACAGCTATTTTCCAGCGTCTTACAGTTAACCATCTCCTGACTCCTATCCATAGTGAGATCTCCTGGAAACAAAACAAAACAAAAACCCTCCTTCCCTCTATGATTCTCACCAAGGGCCTCAAAACTCAGAGGGCCCCATCTACGGCACAAGAGGCCCAAGGCCAGCATTTCTACAGAGCTGCACAGCGACGGGGCGCAGGCGTATCGTCCAGGGTGTTTAGAGCACAGACTTGCAGCTTCTCTCGTGGTCCAGCCTTCTCTCCCTTGCTTCCCACCTGGCTCCTACCTTGACATAGTCATAGAAACAGCCTTCAGAGGGCTCCACGTCAAAATGCCAGAAGACGAGCTTCACCCTGTACCCCCTGGGAACCATGATCACCATGGTTGTCTCAATGTCACTGGGGTAAGGCTTGGGATACAGAGGGGAGGTCACCTCTCCATAGAGCTTCTGAGGGATGTAGATGGAGCCCCCCACCCTGCAGAGCAGGGTCACCAGAAGGAGGGCGAAGAGTTGCCTGTTAAGGAGAGGGGGGGTGTTTGTGAGGCCGGAGGGCGCAGCACCCTTGCCATTGTGAGCCAGGGGTGGGGTGGCTGAACTGCCCATCCCTCCTCTCTGCCCATTTAGACTGCGTAGGGGTCCTGAACAGGGCAGCGGCGGCCTCGGTGTCTCTCCAGGTCACTGTCCAGTCCAGGGGTCACCATGCTCCCATCATGTTCCCCCACCCTAAGCTGCCTCCTCTGCCCTCCTCTTTCATCTCATTTTCTTCCTGGAATAGGACTGGCTTGGGACCAGCTCACTGAGGGTGAAGATATCTCTGCAAGGGTTCCTAACGCTTCAACAAAGGCGTCTGGGAGGAACCCTTCACGGAGTCTGGGAAACACACACAGGGGATTCTCTCTTCACTCAGAGGGTTCTTCCCCTCGCTGTTGCCCCGCTATGAGCCCAGAGCCAAGGAAAGAGAGGCCTTCGCAGCTCATGTCTAAGGGTCTGGTCGCTGGGAGGGGTGCTGAGGAGGGCGGTGTGTCCCTGTGTGTGAGTGTGCACAGCAGATGGGAATACGGGAAGGAGAGAGTTGTGTGCTGCCATTTTCTTCTTTTTTTAATGATGTGGGGACATGCTTGCCCCCAATCCCAGCTCCTCCCTCCTCCCCTGGTGCCCATCAGCCTTACTCACATATCTCTAGGCCACTTTGCTTTGGGTCCTCAGCTCTCCTGACAGTCTTCAGGCACTGTAAGTTGAGATAGGGATTGGGCATGCAGAGGAGGGAAGGGGGAGGGAAGGACTGTGGAGTGGAGGGGTGACCATTCCCGGAGGAATGTTGTAGGGAATGAACTATTTGCATAAACAAAAAATTTCTGAGTTTAGTTTTGGTTTTGAAATCCCTGTTGCTGGTGCCACCTGGTGGCCTATATGGGGAAGGGCGGAGGAAATGGGATCTGAATTTTTAGGGGCCGGAAACATTTGGTTGGAGTTTCTAGATCTGATTAGCATTTTCTCGGAGACTTACCTGGAGGCTGCTGGTTGGAACTTATTCACAGCTCCCCGGCAAAGGCATCACAGCTGTGCAGGCTGTTTTCAGGCTATGCTTTTCTGTTGATCCCATTCTTGCTATTCCTACTCAACCTAGCAGTGGTGGTGCAGGAATGGTTAGCTGGAGGAGGAGGATGGGTTTAGTTGCCACAGGGCCCTGGCCTGCAATGCTCACGAATGACATTTATCCCTGGATGGGAAATTGCTATGTCTCAGGATTCTAAAACAATACCAGGCTTTGGGCCCCTCCCCCCCACAGGCCCCATCATTTTAGCATGATAAGAGCCACTGTCTTGCTAGGTCAGAAAAGACAAATGATGAGGAAGAAGGAAATGGACTAGATCAGAAGACAGAAGGAAGAGGGACTCTTGTCTAGTGAGTTGCATGCTAGTATCCTAAGAGCTGTGTGTGTTACATGAGCACAATGGAGGCAGAGGAGATAGGTGGAGAGGAGGTGGTCCAATAAAGCAAGTCAGCTGAAGCAATCCCATCGTAGGGATTCTGAATTCTGTCGCGATATCACGTGACTTGGCTAAAAATTGCCAAATCTGGATTTGACCAAAAGTTGCCAAATCTGGACTTTACCACCTCAGGTCCAAACCACTTCAACTCTGCTCAAACTTCCAAATAAAATTGAAATCTGTGCCTGCATATAGAGATAAAAAAATTACATAGATCTAGACAAATATATGTAAGTATTTTGCTTTGTCAATAAGAAAATATATAATTTTTATAAAAACTTCAGTCATAAGGATGACATATGCTTATTGCATAAGACTTAGGCAGTAGAAAACAAGAGAAAATTAGTCAAAACCACTCCACCTGAAGCAACTTTCTCTTCAGTATTTTTTAGAATACTTTTACTTTAAACCTATTTACTTGTTTGTAAAGATTTATTTGTATTTTACACGTATGCATGTTCTGCCTGCATGTGTGTATGTGTTCCACGTGTGTGCGTGCAGAGCCTGTGAAGGCTGGAAGAGCAGGGTGCCCAGGAACCGAGTCACAGACGGCTGTGAGCAGCCATGTGGGTGTTGGGAACAGAACCTGGGTCCTCTGGAAGAACAGTCAGGGCTCTTAACCACTGAGTCATCTCTCCAGCCCCCCTTTTTTTAAACTTTAAGATGAGATCAAGACTGGTCTGATCCTTCTTCCTCAGCCTCCCAAGTGCCTGGGACTTTAGGTGTGTGTCACATACTCAGTTTGGATCCTGCTGTTTTTCAAAGGTAAACTTAGCCCTCGACCATAGAACATCTTTATTCTCAGCACGTCTTTCTTTCTCTTTTATGGTATCCGTTCGGAACTGTTGTGTTTTATTTTTGTCTTTCACTGTAAATTACTCCAAATCTTTCCTACAAATTAAAGAGTTTAACTTCTCAGGCTGGCAGTACCCTTGGTGATGAGGACCAATAGGAACATGTGGACACTTCTTCCCGGGGAAGGAGTTTGTAAAACTGGGGGCCCAGAGAGGTAGGTCTTGAGGGCAGCCGAGAGTTATCTCCGAGAGCATGCGGGGAGGAATGCAGCCTCAGGAACCAGCTGTGGGACTTTCACAAACCACTGTCTGTATCTTTCCCAGCTTCCTCATTGTGAGCCCCGGATGGAGGCTCACACACCCTTTGCCAGCACGGTGCCACATTAGGTGAGGTAACAGGTGATGGTCTTGGCTCCCAGTAGATGCAGGATGAAAGAGGAAGCCTTACTGCAACTGCATGCAGGAGCTGTGATAGGTGGTGAAGCCAACTGCTTCGCACATTTGAAGGTCAACAGAAGGGTTTCAGAGACACAGTGCAGGTAAAACCCCTTCCTCCACAGTCTATCTGAATGAGGTGATAGCTGTTCCACAAGTAAATGCAGAAAAAACTGTCAATAGATGAGGTAGGGGGTTCAGAAAGACCCACATGGTGACACTGCCAGATTTAATTGTGCATATTTATAATCCCAGTGTTTGGGTGGCTGAAGCAGGATCGGTGCCCTGCGTTTGAGGCCAGCCTGGGCTGCAGAGTGAGATCCTGCCTTGAACAAGAAAAAAGATGTTCTAAGCAAGGGTTGCCTAGACGTCCAGGGCTTCCCTGGAGAGATGACAGCGAGAAAGGGACAGTGGGTGCTGCTTCCGATTTGGGATGGCGTAGGTTCGGGGGAGGGGGCTTTCTCTTGGGCAGTAGGTTGATGAAGCAATGACTTAAATAGGGTTCCCCGACCCCAAGCGCACCAACCCTCACTCCTGGTCCTCCTTGCCTGGGACCTCCACAGTGCTGGTCTGCCGCTCAGGACCCTGGGGTCAGTCTTTACCTTCCATCACCCTCTTGATCCAATCCACATAGCTGAGTACTTTGGTGTAGAAGCCGTATCCCTTGCCACACCCGATGCCCCAGGATACAATTCCTGTGGCCACCCAGTGAAGAGTACGATTGTCCCACACCACGTAGACGCTGCCACTGTCCCCCTGGCAGACGCTATTCATCTGAATCTCATCCCCAACACAGAACATGTTGTCAGAAAACACCTCAGTCCGTTGCCTCTGGTGGAGCCAGGCTTCACAGGCCTCCCGGGGAGCTACCGGCAGCTGTGAGTATTTCAACTTTGTCGTTAACCAGCCCATCTCTACACCAAACCCACTGACATAGCCCCACAGACCGCTGTGGTAGAGGGTCTCATTGTCGGGCAGGCAGACTGGGAGGAGGCTGGGACCCAGAGAGACTCTGTGCTGGAGCTCAAGGAGGGCGATGTCCCCGTTGAAATTGTGGGATTCGTGCTGGCGGTAGTCTGGGTGAACCACGACTCTCCGGACAGGATGGTTCCCCAGTTTCAGCAGCTCGTCTACATCTGTGTGACCGAGAAACACCTCCACGCTCTGGTTCTTCCTGAGATAGAGGCTGTCCTTGGGGTGGATGGTATGGGCAGCGGTCAGGATCCATCTGTCACCAAGCAGGGCTCCACCACCACGACCATAGATACTGGTGAAGGCTTGCCAAGGGAAGTTTCCCAGCTTAGCTGGGGATGAACCGAAGGCCTTTGGATTCTGGACAATGGGGATGACTGGTCTTCCACAGACTGCAGGAGAGACGGAAGGAGAGCAGTCAGAAGCTGCGGGAGATTAGAGACCTGTGAGGTGCTGGGGTGGGTGCCCGGAGGCCCCAGGTGTGACTCTGCAGAGGGCCAGGACCTTCCCAGTACTGATGGGAGCAGTGAGTCAATCTTACAACACCGGGTACAACACCTGGGCAGGACGGTGGTGCCTTCCCGTCTGCTGCCTCAGCCATCTTTGAGCCATTCCTCAGCTCTGATAGGGCTGTCTCCGGTTTGGAGTTTGTCTTTAGTGCTTTTTGACTGTTTTCTGTGTCACTCCCTCTTTTGTAACATCTCCCATGCCACCCTTCCCCAACCCAGGCTGCCCTTAGAGTGCTCTGTGGGTCACGTTTGGTTAGGGACACAGTGCTTTCATTAGAAAATATGGATCTCACCAGGCATGTGGGCATAGGCTTGTGAGCCCAGAATTTGGGAAACAGGCAAAAAATGAGGAGTTCAAGGACATTTTTGGCTATATATTCTGGGGAGTTTAAGACCATTCTGGGCTTTATGAGGTTGTCTAAAACAAAACAAAAAACAAAACCAGCAGCAGCAGCAGCAGCAGCAATACCCACCACCACGACAAAAACAAAACACAAAAAGAATGATGAGTTGTTACAATGTGAATGACCTTGAAAGGGTTAGGCTAAGGGGAGAAGCCAGTCTCAAAGTGTGGCTCCATTTGTACGGAATGTCCAGAAAAGACAGATCCATAGAGGTAGAAAGTAGGCTAGTGGTTAAGTGGTTAACAGGCATGGTGTGTGTGTGTGTGTGTGTGTGTGTGTGTGTGTGTGTGTGTGTGTGTGTGTGTGTGTGTTTGCTGGGGATTGAACTCAAGACCTTATGTATCTACAAGACCTTATGTATCTCAGGCAGGTGGTCTACCACAGAGCTACCCAGCCATCTCTCTGAGCCATATCTTGACCCTTGGAGGATGAGGGACGAGCTCCTTGCCTCTTCTTTTCTGGGCCCTCTTTACACCCTCTTCTTACAAGGTGAAGCCTTCTGCCTTCCCCTCCATTTTCTATCCCAATGCTTTCCTTCCACCCCACATCCCAGCCCTCCCAGAGGCCTGCTGGCAGCTGGCCCCTGCAACAGTACTAGGCGGGTAGCTACTCACCTGGCACACATTGAGGAACCTCTTCCCTATCCTGTCTGTCCTTCCAAGTCCCCAAGGATGGGCAGCTGAATGTCCCTGTGGAACAGAATGAGGGACAGCAAAGAAGTAAGCCCAGAATTGGGGGTGTCCAGCTAATAGGATGGGCACTCAGGAGGCCTCGGGCCTTTTTGTAGGAGCAAGACAGATGGGAACTACTTCCTCAGCAGGCAGGGACTCACCGGTCTGTCTGACCTCATAGTAGGGATCTTGACAGTGGCTCTGAATCCTGGGAAGGTCAGCTCCAGGTGTGGTGACAGCCTCAGAGTCCCCGTTGGGCTGGCTCACAGCTGTAGGGGATTGGTGGTTCTTAGGGTCTCACAGAGACTTGCAAATTGGCAAATTGGGGGATGATTCTGACCGTGTCTGTATGGTCAGTGCATAAGACTCAGCCATGTCTGTATGGTCAGTGCACAAGACTGACTCAGCAAAATCCATGCTGGTTTCCACTGATCAGGGTTTTAATACTCCAACAGCTTGAAAGCAACTGTGAAGAGTAAGTTGTTGCAGAATATTTGTTTAATTATGCAAAGATGCACTGCATTTCTTTGACTATGTAAAGCAGCATTGTATTGTTCACATTATGGAATATTAGCTCAATATATAAAGATGTGTTGCATCTGTTTAATTATGTAAAGATGTATTGCTGTTTTACATCACCTGCCTAAGGTACCTGATTGGTTTAATAAAGAATGGCCAATAGCGAGGAAGAAGGTATAGGTAGGACTTCCAGGCAGGGAGAGTAAGTAGGAGGAGGAATTTAGGCTCAGGGAAGAAAGAAAAAGAGATGCCAGGGAGACACCAGGGACCAGTCAGATAGACAGAGAGGAAGTAGGAACGTAGGACATACAGAATGAAAGAAAGCTAAATAGTCCTAGGCGAAACATAGATGAAGAGAAACCAGTTGATTAAGTTGGAAGAGCTAGCGGGACAAGCCTAAGCTAAAGGTGGAACATTCTTATTAATGATAAGTCTCCGTGTCTTTATTTGGGAGCTGGTTGGAGACACAAAGAAAATTCCAACTACCGCTAGTTGTGGAGAAACTGGTCTTTCCAAATATAGATGATGGGTGTATTAATTAGCCAAACTTCTTTGGAAGGAAGTTAAGTAACTTCAAAATTTTAAAATGCAAATGTGTTATAGCCTAGCATATAAATTTATAAGAATTTACCATAAAGAAATTCTCACACCTGTGCTCAAAGATGTGTGTATAAGAATATACACAGCCTCATTGTTGGTGGCAAGAAAGCATCTATGAATTCACTAAATATACATTACAGCAATCGAGAGAATATTATGTGTTACTAAAAACATAAAGTGTCAACGCTCGCCATATGCATGAGAGATGGCCTTTAAGATGAACTGAATTTGGGGCTGGAGAGATGGCTCAGCAGTAAAAAAAAATTGCTGTTCTAGAGGACCCAGGTTCAGTTCCCAGCACCCACATGGCAGCTTACGACTCTAGCTTTAGGTGATGTTTTATCCTGTTTTGACCTCTGCAGCTACATGGTGCACAGATATACATGCAAGCAAAACACTCATACATATAATAAAAATGAATAAATCTAAAAAACAAATAAGTCCTCAAAAAAGGACATACTGAACGTAAAAAGTGGTAGCCCCAGGGCATTCTGTACACTACACAGCAAACAGGTACAATGTGTCTTCAAGGATGTGGAATGCCTTTGGAAACATATTTAGCAGATGAAAATGGGGCTGTTTCTGGAAATTGTGACAGAGGCAATGGCCAGAGATCAGAGGAAGTCTTACTTTTCACACCTTAATTGAAAAATTATTTATTATGTGTAAATATTATCTTCCAAAAAAAGTGAGTCACTGTTTGAAAATCTAGAATTTCACTTACTACCATGGCTTTCTGATTTCCTTATATCTACACACAGGGTCTGTATATTTCCCTGGAATTAATGGCTGCAGCCAGGCAATGACTGCCTCATCGCCAGGCTGCTCATTATGAAGGTCAGCCCTGGGACAAGGATAGAGTCAGTCCAGGAATCCCCAATCCCTGAGCCTCCCATCACTCATGCTTCCACTTGGCCCTTCAAGGGCCAGGGACCAGGGGTGGGCTCTGCCTGCACTCCAGAGGGACCCTCACCTATGGCTTGATAGAGAGCCAGGAAGCCTTTGTGGACGTGTGTGATCTTGTTCTGGGAAGGAGAGTGTGCCCGGAAGGTCAGCCGCAAACTCCTCCCAGAGGACACAAACTCCCTGTGCCCAGGAGAACTCTCCAGAGAGGAAGTGTGCTGCCCACACAGCCGGACTGCATCTGTCCCTCTGGTTGAAATCTGAAAGAAGAAAGAGAGGACAGGTAGTGGGGGGCTAGCCTGCACCACTGGCCACAGGATGCAGCCCTCCCTGGAAGCAGTGCACTCCTGAGGAGCTCAGAGGCTCAGGTCTGCCTAAATGAGCTTTCTGTCTTGTTGTCGACTCCCAAGTTTCCCAGAGTGACCATGTATTTGACTCTGTCTTACATCTACTCTAAGTACCTTCTAAAACTCACTCAGCTTTCCTTCTTCCAGAAGATTCCTTGGGAACCCTGGGCTTTCTGCACTTCTCACTGGATTATAAATCCTAAGAAAAGACTACATCTGCTTCGCGCAAAATTGAATCCCACAGTTCTGGGAAGTCTCTAATGTAGTGACCTTGCTTTCTGGCTTCTGTGGTTCCACTTCTGGTTGACTGCTCCTGTTAACAGAAGTCTGTCAACCCAGGGTGGTATGTTTTCTTCTGTGTGCTTAAAGCTCACCCTGAGAAAGGCTTGGGGTTACACTGTGACACTGGCTGGCTAAAAAAGACTCCCTCCCTCCCTCTTCCTCCCTCCCTCCCTCCCTCCCTCCCTCCCTCCCTCCCTCCCTCCCTCCCTCCCTCCCTCTCTCTCTCTCTCTCTCTCTCTCTCCAGGCTTTCTCTATGTAGCCCTGGCTGTTTTGGGGCTCACTCTGTAGACCAGGCTGGCTTCGAACTCACAGAGATCTGCCTGCCTCTGCCTCCTGCTTGCTGGGATTAAAGGTGTGTGTTCTCTTGTCTTAAGCCCATATCTGAGCAGTCTTTTCTGGTGGACACCCCACAGCATTTCTGGAGGTTCCACCGAGACCCCTAGAGTCCAGACCTCAAGACACAGGGGTTCTCAGATCCCCTCGGAACAGATGATCCAGGGGCTCTTCAGGGGTGGGCAACTGGAGATGTTCCAGGTCCCCAGGACTCCCTTTGACCAATGGCTACCTAAGGATGCTTCAGTGGAGTCTGACACCTCCACCCCCAAAGGAAACAAATTAGAAAGCTGTCTGGTTTGTCACTTCCAGAGGCAGTCTAGGTAAGGTGTCTTCTGCTTGCACACATAGGAGAGGTTGGACATGATCCTGATTCAGTGTTCGGAATCCACTCGAGATGCCACTGGATCCCCCTGTCCAGGTATATGAATGTGTAGTGGCCACCCCTGACTGTTTTTACTCTATGTGTTTCTCTCTACATTTCTGTCAGTTATTTCCCTGTATTGACCAGTGGCTTTGTCTGGTGTGACCCCCCCCCACCTGGGAGGGCTTAAGGGTCATGCCTCTTGGCCTCTTGTTGGGGACCTGAATCCTTTTGGCTCTGCCGGGCCACCCAGAGGAACCAAAACATCTTTCACTTGTCCCACTCCTGGAGTGCCTGTTTTGTTACTCGGCTCCCACTAACGGCCTGGGTCGGTCTGGACTCTGTGGAGGTGGGGATGGGCCGGGTCTCTGTCATTCAGGACTCCCTGTCATCTAAGCAGAATGCACACAGGGAAGGAGGAATAGGTCCCCAAGGTGAGCAACCCCTCAGCTCCCTGCCTGCTCTAAGCAGCCCTAGGAAAGGGGAAACGTAAGTTCTATTCCTCTGTCGTTCATGGCTCATGCGTTCTTCTCAATCAGCTGGAAAACTAAAAACAACTGGCCCTGGGCCTGGCAAGCGGACCACTGCTAGTCAGTGCAGCCTATGTAGAATGGAGTTTTCCTTCTGTTCAACGCAGACCAAGGAGACTTCATTCAATTCTCACTAGGTCCTTTTGAGAAGTATTAAAAACAGCTGCTAAGGAGATTTCCTTTGTCACCCAGTCGTCCCCAGATATTAGAAAAAAAAAACTTTAAAGTTAAAAAAAGTCTAAATGTATTAATAGGTCCCAGTTGCTGGAGTTAGCTCAAAAGGTGTTTAACAACAAAAAACTGACTGAGAGATGAGCCCTTTCTCATACACTGAAAGCCACCAGCACGTGTCTTGTGTTGGGACATAATTACTTACAGATACCCTGAAACATTTTGCTGTCTTGCCCTCTGTCAGAAGACTATCTCCTAGCTGAAAGTGTTGCCCCTCATCAAAAGATACAGTAGGACTATCTCTCAGATTTACAGCAAAGATTCCAAGGGGTAAGGGCAGAAACCAACTTCTCAGGATTGGCTCAACACCAAATTCCTATAATAGTCGAACTAACCAGTTCAGCTACCCTTGTCCAGATTAAATAATACTCAATAATCTTGGAAATAAAAAGTGAAATCGCAGTCCATATTGCCTGGCTCAGACAGACAGGCATCCTGGTGCCCCGCCAGTCACCCTGGGATACACCTCTCCTGCCTGTGAAGAAACCTGGGACCTTTTTTTTTTCCATGAGTCTGATTCTTCCAGAGAAACAGGTACTCACTGTCTTAGACTGAAAGATGCATTCTTCAGCCTCCCACTGGCAGAGGTGGGTCAACCATTATGGCTTTTAAACCCAGAGGGAAGTTACAGAGGGCAACTTACCTGAGCCAGGTTGCATCAGAGATATAAAAATTCTCCAACCCTATTTTATGAGACACTAAACACTGACCTCCTGCCCTTACTGTCAGAGGTTTCTTAGGGCCGTATTCTTAGAATAAATATTCTTTTTATTTCCAAGGTTATTGAGTAAATGACCTCATCCTAGCCTCTAAAACTAGAATTATAAAAGGTCTAAGGAGGTGTGGTAGAGTATTATTTTAAGGTGTGTGACTTTTGTTTATGCTGCATTTGTTTAACTCTGTGAAGCTGTGTTACTTTTCTTAATGAACTAATAGAGAGCTGAATGGACAATAGCGAGGCAGGAGCAGGGAGAGGCAGGACTGGCAGGCAGAGAGGAGAAATAGAAGGAGAAACAAGGAAGGAGAGACAGAGAGAATGAGGAGAGGAGGATGTCAGAGGCCAGCCAGCCAAGCTCGGAGTAAGAGTGAAAGTAAGATTTACAGAAGAGATAAAAGCCCAGAGGAAAAGGTTAATTTAAGATAAAAGCTGGCTAGAAACAAGCCAAGCTAAGGCCAGGCACTCATAGCTAAGAATAAGCCTCTGTGTGTGATTCATTTTTGGGAGCTGAGTGGAGGGACCCCCAAAGAGTATAAAGAAGGCAAGAGAGTGTAAAACAACATTGGGAGCCAATTTGTTGTTTTCTTTTTAAATTGTTGCTACCTCTTAAGCTACAGCTCTCCTATTTAACAACTGCAACCCTGCCTTTTAAGCTATAGCTCTCCTATTTAACAACTGCAACCCTGCCTTTCCCAGAAGCAGCCAAGCCACAAGAGCAGAAGCCTGAGGGGATTCTGTTTCCTCAGGCACCGACTCTTTCAAAGCTACCAAGGAAACTTATTTAAATCTCTGTTCCGCTAAAGAACGCAAGATCCAAAGGTTGAGGTAGAATCCTGCTTTCCAGAGAGGCCGAATAGCAAGCAGCTCGCCTAGCTACCCTCTTCACATCTCCCAAGAAGGTCTTGTGCTTTTTCTCACCCCTCCTTATAAACCCTTCTCCACCTGGCTCCTTCCTATACCTTCCTTTCAGCTACTTGCTGACCCAGCTTCCTGACTGCAGGTGAGTTTTATTTAATCAAACACATTAAACAAATGTTCTGGAGCATAAACAAAAGCAACACATTTTAAAATAACATTCTATAACACCGAGGGACTGCTGTCAGAGTTACAGACCCTGGGCTGTATCTGTCAGCTAAGAAAGTCCGTAGAATGTCAGTTAAGAAAGTCCAACTTTGCAGAGGCTACCTATCTTGGCTACCAGCTGAGCGGAGGCAAAAGGAGCCTGTCTCAGTAAGACTGCTGCCATCGTCCTTCAGAACCCAACTCCGAAGACTAAGAGACATTTCCTAGGCGTGGCTAGGTATTGCCACCTCTGTATACCAGAGGCCTCTCTACACCAGCACAAGGTGAGACGCTGGCTCCTTAGTCCAGACTGAGACTAAGCAAAAGGCGTTCGAGGCTTTAAAAACAGCTCCAACTTCTGCCCCAGCCCTAGCACGTCCAGATGTCCCCAAACCTTTTAATCTGTTTGTACATGAAACAAAAGATGTGACAAAAGGGGTTGTAACTCAAACTTCGGGGCCATGGAACTGCCCTGTGCCATACCTGTCCAAAAAAATGGACCCTGTAGTTACCGAATGGCCCACCTGTCTGGCAGCTGTGGCAGCTACCTCTAGTCTAACGAAAACAAACAAGTTAACTCTGGGTCAGGCTCTTATAACCCACAGCACACCATGCTGTTGAAGCATGCTGTTCATGACATTCATCCTATGAGGAGTGCCAGAACGCTGGCTGTCCAATGCCTGTGTGACCCCGTACCAGGCCCTTCTCCTGGACCACTCTCCCAGTCCAGTTTGAGAACCCCACCACCATCAAATCTCTCTACCCTCTTGCCTGATGATGGACTTTAGATGCTCATCCTTGACTGTAATGGATGAAAGGTGAAACCAGGTGTGGGAGTTGCAGTAGTTACTTTAACTGAAATAATTTGAGCCCAAACCGGGTGCCTCAGTCCAGAGAGAAGAACTGATCTTTCTGACCCAGGCTCTCAAATGGAGGAAGAGAAAGTCCATCACTGTATACCCGGTCAGTTGTTAGGCATTTTCTACTGTGCACCACACAGTATGGTCTTTAGAGAAACGGGCCTTCTCACCATTGGGGAAAAGGATAGGCCCTCCTGGAGGTTATTTGGGTTCCCCAAAAGTTGATATTTTCCACTGAAATGACCTATAAAGATGACTTCCCCGAGGCCAGAGTAACCGGGCTGTTGACCTAACTGCCCAACAAGTGACTGTAAGGCCAGTGGGGTCTATTGATATTCTCATGACATACCCCGATTCAGTGCTGCCTAGTACTCCATGGTACAACCAAGAGGAGATAGAGAATGGCAAAGAATGAACATCTAGAACCCACAGGTTTATGGAGGACACCAGAGGGAAAGATCATTCTCCCAGAAACAAATGGGAGGACTCTGGTCCTCATCTGGGGTTCACAATACTTTCTGAGTTGCTCAGA